CTCTAAAGCACAGTTGCCTGTGTGCATCTGAGTTTCTGAAGTACATGTAAAACTTCTTTTCTTCCTGCAGGAGGAAGACTTACTATCTTGATATTCAAAATGAAATGATCAAGCATTTGAAAGATTTGCATGCCTGTCTGTACCTTATTGCTCTCCTCCATGCTGATTTTATTTTGGTGGGGATAGAAAATACAAGTCACTGAATTCTTTTTTAATACTGTCGGCAATGACATGGAAAGTAGTTTTATTATCTGTATTATAGAGACTTCTAAATGCCCTAACAAAAATTTGAAGTCTACTGTGCTGTGCACTGGAAAATATTTAATAAGAAAGTCTGTTTTGAAGGTCTTGAAGTCTAAATAGATAGCACAAAGGATGGGCTAAAAAGAAGCTTCCTTATTAATTCTGTAGACAAGGAAGTGGGGCGTACAAAGACTGTGATTTGTCCTGGGAACATATGGTGGAGTCAGTGCGGATGGCCTAGTATCTCCTGTCCAGGACTTTAATTGCACAAGGCTGCTTCTGGTGTGACAAATGTATTTCAGAATATTTGCACAGAAAGCAATTACACCTCTTTCATTCAAAAGAATCTCAGTCTCTGAATATCCAATTTTTTTTTGAATATGCTGATTTTCAGTATGGTGAGAATAGTGTAATTTATTGCAGGAGTCTTCTACGTGTTGTTATCATCTTTTTTTGGTTTTATTTTTGGGTTTTTTTTTCATGACCCCCTGCTTTGCATCCTGTGCATGTCAGTAGAGTGGTTGTGGGAGCAGGATGGTCCCAACCTGACATCTGGGTTAAAGCATGTCGCATGAGGTCCTCTAAAATAAATAACGCAAAGGTCAAATTAAACTGTAGCACATAAGAAGACTTCAGTGATATGTGTTGCAAAATTTTACAATGTAAATTTGTAGATGCAATTCAACTGCCTGAGAGAGGCAAGGTTGTGTCTTAAGAGAAAATCCTAAGTGGCAGCTGGGAAAGATACTTGGTTTCAGGTATATTGCCGTATTTTACTGTTCATATTCCTCTTTTTATATACTTTTTTTTTTAAATCTTTTAAAATGAAGGATGTGAACCTTTACTGTATTGGAGTCAGTCTGGTATTTCACTTAAACTTGTTTCAACTTAATTTAGTTTAAGGTTAATCTATGAATCTGGAATGGTTTTATTTCTCTGAAGGTAACAAACACAAATACCCCCCCCCCAAAAAAAAAAAAAAAACAACCCAGTGTTGTTTTACTCAAAACCCAAGAGCATTTTGGAAATCAGATGGTGTGAAACATTAACTTGCAAGAGTCAGGCTGAGGAGTAGCAGCATCAAATACCGGGATACAGAGACTATGGCAAAGAGCTATATAGTAGTAATAAAAGCAGCCCCAAATTTGGGATTACTTCCATATTACTGCAGTGGTGATTTACATTTTGATACTTGGTATTTAAAGAAATAATAACAATAACAATGATGATGGTGATTATAATTGTTGTTGTTAATAACAATAACAACAGCAATAACAATAACATCATCATCATCATCATCTTCTTCCCACCCTCCACTCCCCCTGATGACCTGCACAAATGTCTTCACTGGTTTGTGAAGGTGTTTGTACCTGATCGCTTACCAGTCACTGGGCTTGGAACAAATTACAGAATTGGAAAGGGCCATTGCACCTGATATGCAACTGTATGCTAAATTGCTGTGAAATCTATCTATAAATGCATGGCTAAGACAGTGGAGGACTAAATTGGGTGAAATTTGTTGCTCTCACATTAGTGACCCATCTGGGAAATTTTAAAATTCAATTCAGTCATGAATAGCTCTGCAAGAGTTTTGTTGATGCAAACTTTCTGCAACATTCTCAAGGGACTAGGAGGAAGAAATCTCGTTCTCTTATTCTTGCTATGGGATATATAACTGAGAAGAAGAGTGAGGATGAAGAAGCATTCTCTTCTGGCCGGTCTCACTGTAGGTATATGCCTTGCAAACTTTGCCCATAGCACATCATCACTACCGTGTTATTTTCATAGCTTTCCTAAGGAATTATTTGAGGCATACACTACACTTGACTTTGTTATCTAAGCAACTGACAAAGTTTAATACACTGAATGTATTCTGCCCTTACATCTTACACAGCTTGAGTATCTTTGTACCCCTAATGTGCTTCATTTTTTCTCCAAAATAGCTCTCAGTACTTCTGCAAACCAAAATACTTTGACTGCTAACTGTAAGGAAAAAGTGTTGAATTTCTGCTAAAAATCTGAATCTCAAAAAGTGTTTATAGATTAGGTAATAATCTGAATAAGTGTCACTTCACAGAAACTGGACATAAAAAGACAAGCCTTCCCCAAGAATTGCGACATAGTCCTGATTAAGATTCACTGTTAAAACCCGAGATTTCCGCAGAACATTGATTATTCTTAAAATGGTGCTGCTCACAGCTAGTGGCAGAGTCGATGATATTGCAGCTAAATATTTTCCATGTCACCTAATGCCTCATGGGGAAAGATTGTTTATTAGCAAAGAAACTTAAATCTTAATTTTTGTCATCTCAGGGAAAACAAAAAAAAGAGAGCAGAAATTAGTAAGGTCTGCATTTGCCTTCTGTTGCTGAAGCCCTGCAATAATTATTTGTAAATATTAAGCTCAGGGTGTTGCATGTGTTTGTTTGTAAAGGGGAAAATGCTAACGGTTTCAGAATAGAGAACATGCCTTTTCAGCAGGTTACCATTTGAAACAGAAGAACTGCAGCCCTACTCTGTTGAGGGTAACCAAGCTGCAGGAATCAGGCCGCGGTGTCTGGCAGTTGTGCCTCATGGGTGGGCTGCCTTGTCCCGTCTCTTAGCAAGGACCGTGGGTCATGCAGAGCTGGCGTCACCCTTTAGGGCTCCGTTGCAGGCTGCTCAGAGACAAGGGCTGGTGGTGCAGACACTCTTCTGGAGAAACAGTTTTGAGCCTAGTAGAACTGCCATCTCCAGTGTAAAGTAAGCAACAATTTACAGTTTGTTCTGCTGCTGGAGTGATGGTGATCTTTTGGGAGCAGATGGGAGTGCAGAGCCTCTGGCAGGGTCCACTTTGGTTTGACCTGTTGTGAGTGTCGGAGATCTATGTGGTACCTCGGTCTTTTCCTGTAGTCAGTAGGATTTTGTGGCTCTACAGGAACCTTGTAAACCTTAGGCTCCAAAGCACCATAATCATGCCTGATTACATTTCCAGCCCTCTCTCCTCTTAACTGCTAAAAGGGATAAGATAAAGCCGGAAGTACTTTTCTTGCTTTTGTCTCCATCAAGATTTCAGTCCAGTTCCTTAGGAGCTGCCGGCACTTTGTCTGACTGTGCTGGGCACAGGTATTGATGCTTCTCAGAAGAGAAGGCACTGAAACCACAGTCGCCTTTGCGCTGCTCAGTAGGTATTGCTGTGCTGTGCACAGGACACCTGTTGCAATGGTACCAGCCGGATCAGGGACACTTGCTGGGAGAGCTGCTCTGCTTTGCTGGTCTCGGATAGCCTGGCCCTGCCACCCTCTCGCTGTCCCAGCACCCTGTGCTTCTTGACCTCGAAGGCCTGATGGAGCTGGAGAATCCCTGCACCCAAGAGGAAGATCTGGGTAGTTGGCTTGGCAACACAGAGGATTCTTCTGTCTTCAGTGACATACAAAGCAGCCTTAAGGGAGAGTCAAATCCTATTGACAAGTTAACAGCCTGTGTTAATGCTCTGGAAAGCCAAAGGCATCTGTCTGATCAGTACAGTTTGCTCGAATGGGATGAGGCTGAACATGCTGGAGAAAGAAATAGCTGCAGTCAGAAATTCATTTGATATTGTTAAAGGGAATGACAAAGAAATCATTAGAAAACTACCAAAAGAGAAGTTAAAACAGTATGTTATGTATATACGTTATTACATATCGAGCTCCTAAGTTAAGTTTTGCTACAGACAATCAATAATAGAGGTGGGACTTGTTTCCCTTCTTTTCTTCTTTCCTACGGTATTGAAAGTTGTCCCCTGCTGGGTTTCATGTGTGTGTACCCATAATAACATTCCTAGTTAGTGACAGAACTCTGACAGCACTACAGGTTTCTCTGCAAAAGAGTTCATTAAATGCCAGCCAGTAATCCGATGGCATTTGCTAACATAATGCTGTAAAGCCAATCTGTTTCCTATCCTTCTCTCTCTCTTCCTTTCAAAAGAAACTTTTCATTCTCAGCAGCCACAAGAAGAAAAAACTCAAGAGTTAACGCTGGCAAATAGTTTCTGTTAAGCCAAAATCTAGAAGAGCCTTGTTCATTGGCAAACTCTGATCGAGCTGCATTACCTGGTGATAAAGAGACTTTGATAACTACAGATTATATTGCCAATTAAAAAAAAATTATAGCCATTTGGCATTTCAAAACTTTGCAAAGAATCCAAAGCATAAAGCTAAACTGGGTGCTATTGGAATCTGGCAGAAAGTTGGTTTTAGGAGAAATTTATGTATTCTAGGCTTAATATATTACTTTTAATAAAATATATACCATCTCCCACAGTTCTTGACAGCACAACCCAAGCAACTGTTGAAAATCTGCCTTGAGACAAACAGCATGTGGTGGCCCAACTCCTCCCATGATTACCAGTCCAACCCGAAACCACTTGGCACATCTTGCAAACTGGCCCCATCTAGTTAGGGTGGGACTTCCGAGCAAGGCCGAGGTAGCTGGGAGATGAACGTCTTTGTGCAAGCCCTGCCAGCAGCCTGGGGTAGGAACCTGGCTGCAGATTAGGAGATCCCTGGGGGAAGGCGTCAGCACCGCTCCTTTAGCTGGTGGGAGGAGTTCATTTACCACTGCTGCAGCTACCCTGGCAAGCAGAGAGATGAGAGCAAAGACTGCACTAAGTCTGTATCAGACTTGTTGCCTTGGGAGAAGAGGATGGTTTAGGAACCACGGAATTTACTTGGTACTGATAAGTGCACCCCATTAGGCAATGGGTAGAACAAGAGACGTTTCTAAGAGATCTGCTAAACATGCCGCCTTCCCTAAATGACAGAACAGTGACTCTCTGCTCGCTTTCTGAATGCAGTCACGTTTTGTTGCTTCAGGCGGTGGCAAAATGCCAGGGTAGGTGCTAATGAAAAGTATAAATAAAATCAAATGTGTGGAGGGAAACAGTGCAATGAAAAATGTTTTCCCAAAACATACCAAGTCTGAAACTGTAAAGCGTTTCTCTTTTGTGAGGACAAGTTGGAAATTGCTTATTGAAATCTCAGAGCATTATTAAGGAGCTCAGCAAGGTTATTACTTAGCTACGGTACTGGGAATTAAAGAGGTTGCTTAGGAAGTACTGTTACTTACTTGCATTAGCTGCAGTAGTGGTTTAGTGTCCCATAACGTGTACCCTTTTCATCATTGCCAAAATATCTGTGTATATGGAACTTTCAGTGAAGCCAGTTTGTGAGAGCTGCTGTTCCCGAAAGACAATTAGCCATTTCTCCACAACATGTGCACAAAGCCAATTGCAACTGTCCCTTTCTGCCATCAGCAGACAGTAAAATACAGATCAATACCTAATTTGTCGTTTGCAGTGATCACAAAAGACTTCCACATAACAGTATTATTTTAAATTAAAAAGCTTTCTTCTGATCTATCTTATTATGTCCCTGAAAACACTGGCCCCTGTTTCCAATAGCAGTAAAGTTTATGAGTGTTTCACTAATGACTCTTCAAGGTGGACTTTCCCAGCTGCCTTGCTGTAACATACCATGAATCATGTGTTAATTCTCAGCTATAGTGATGTCAAAGATTGAGATAAAGCCCATATGATTTGTCTGAAACTGTGGTATGATTGTAGAAATGAAAGATAATCTTCTAATTTCATAGAACACACTCTTGCAGTGGCTATGAGATAACTGTTTGCTTGGGAAATACCTTTGCGCTTTACTGAGTTATGGGGATTATAGCCTGGTGTCCTTTGTGATTCATAACTTCACTAAAATGAATGTTTGAGTGTGCGTGTGTGTGCACACAGTTGCACACAAATAGGCTTTGACTGCCGTGCTGAGGTCTTTTTGCACTCGTGTAGCATCTAATGCTGTTCATTTACCTTTGTAACAACCTCTTTGCACCATCAGAGGCTGCAAGTGAGAATGTGGATTACTTTGTGTGTATGATACACGTTCTTACAGGCATATGGGTGAGCTATTTGTGTTTGCTAAGTGACCATGGGAAACATTCTTGCATTTCTTTTGCAATTTTGTTAATTGTTGTTTATAAAGACAATTTAAAACAAACAAAATCTGAACTGATTGAGATTTTGCAGATTGTAACTTTTATCATAATCATAAATCATTCCGTTTGGTTTCTTTTACAAACTGTGTTTGCATATGGAAGCACAACAGCAATCAACCACAAGCTACTCCTTTTGCAGGTATTTCATTTTCTTAAGGTAATGCTTTTTAACAATGGCAGTAAAGCAGAAACTCGAATAGTTTCAAAATACACCATTAATTCTTATGGTTGCTCATGTATGTTTTCTTTAGTCCTGTGTTTTCGAAAAGATTTCCAAACAGAACCTGCTGCAAAATTTTGTACAAGCTGGCACTTGGGGTTTCATAACCCTTTCAGGAGCCGAATTGTTCGATAAACTTAGTGATGGGTTACAAAGGTTTTATCTACAGAGTAGCCATTCTAGAGTATTTTCCTGCTTTGATTTGATTCAGTGTAGTCTTTAAATTGGTATTAAATTTTTAAACATGTCATTTGAGAAAAAAGAAATGCATAATGTTTACATGTGATGGATACAATAAAGATCTTATGAGGAGTCCTGTAGGAGATCTCGTGTGTTGTTAAGGGCTTTCTGCAATGTAAGCTGTCAAAGGAACACTCAAGCTATATGAAGATTTTCCGTCTTACAGGAAGGAAACTTATGCATCTCATTTACTGTAGTCCTGATTTATTTAAGGACATAGCACGTACTTGGAAATACAGTACAGAGGTCTCAGCCCCCTGTTCATTAGGCTGCTTTTGACTGAACAGGAAGTTTGGGGCATGCTCCCATGCCAAAACTGATAAACTGCAATAGTTTTGTAATTATTCTTTTAATATTATGTTTGCCAATATAGTTTTGTGAACATAATGCAGAGCTGAATTAGATTATATTATATAGTGTGTGTATGTATGCGTGTGTATGTGTGCATACACGTACTTGGGTGCTGGCAACCAAATATTCAGGGTGAGACCATGTAACTCTAGAATTAACCTTAGATTTTTTAATATTTTTTGTTTTTTTTCTGCTTAGATGGACAAAACCAATTTTGAGAAAGGGTTACAGACGACGGTTGGAGCTGTCAGATATTTATCAGATCCCTTCTGCGGACTCTGCTGATAATCTTTCTGAAAAACTAGAAAGGTATGAAAGATTCGTGAAATAACTTTGCTTCAAGAATTACACTGCAATTTTCATTAAAAAGCCACTGGATAAAATGTTTAAATAGCATTGAGTGCCAGCTGGTTGCACCCGCTGGCTGGCTCAAGTGTGTCCTCATTCAGCACACAGTTGTCCTTTGGAGCTGACTGGGATCCCTGGTGCAGGTGTTTCAGGTGCAGGTGCTCTGAATTACTGTATACAGGTACCTGTGACATCTGTCCGTTGACTAACAAGGCTTAACTCACAGTTTCAATGTTAGTTCTCTATTCTGCCATCATTTCTTCTCAAAACATCCTTGTAAAATACTTTCTTTTTTTGTGAATTAAATACCATTCTTAATTTCCTTTGCCATCACAGTTGAAAGACTAATTGCCTCTGCAGAAATCATACCCTGACTTCCCTCATTTGGGTTTCCTCTCTTCCCTACCCTATTTTGGTGGGTTCTAATTAAAATCCTGTGCTACACTTGGGACTAACTCTGACAGATAGAAGTGCCTAAATCCAGTCCCTCTCCCCCAGCCTCCGCTGTAGCTTTCCCTGGTGTTTTGGGACAGTTCACATCTGCATTGTCATGTCAGTCCAATTAAACCTAATTGCAGTGTGACATATGTATTCAAAATGAGTGGAAAGTATTGAGAACATCAGTGTGCTTAATGCAGTTTGAAAGTTTATAAATGTAATACTCTGGTTATTTAATATTCTGCTGAAAAAATGGAGAAAAGAGTTATCTGAGGAAATCCTTAGGAATTCTTTAATCTGTGAGTTGAATTTTGACTAAACATATGTTTTCTGTATATAGCATTGCTTCTGATCAGCAAATTATTATCGAATAGAAAATTATTGTCCCAGCAACAGAGGTTAAAAATAATGCTGTGCAGTAGAAAAGACGCATTTTTGAGGCTTTGTTGGTGGGGTTTTTTTTGTTTTTTTTTTTTTCAATCTGGAAGAGCTCCAAAACGTTTATTTGCCTATTATTTTTGCTTTGGTCTTAAGTAGAGTGGGTTTCTTTAAAACATACAATGTGACCTTTTCATGAATTAATTCCCTGCAGGGTGATGTATAGCTGAGTATTTAAAACTGCCAAATATGTGGCTGAACTAGGTTTGAACTTTTATTGATCTATCAAGTCAATGAAGGCCAGGTCTTTGGGCTCTCTTGCAAAGCTCTATTTCATTAGTCACCTCAGCTAAATCTCCCTGGATATTCTTGAGTGAATTGAAGTATGCCAGAGCCACAGACCCATGTATTTGCTCACACAACTTAATAGTCTTGTTTTTCGGTTCCTTTGCAGAGAGTGGGACAGAGAGCTAGCAACTTCAAAGAAAAAACCCAAGCTTATTAATGCTCTTCGACGGTGCTTTTTCTGGAAGTTTATGTTCTATGGAATAATCTTATATTTAGGGGTAAGATTTGTTCTTCGCTTTAATAAACTTATACTGTTCCATAAATAGATCAAAGTCTTAGGGATGGCGAAATTAGTACAGATTCCTGTGAATAGCTACAGATTTTGCTCACAGAGATGATAAATACTGAGAGATACTCAGGGACCTTCATAAAGAAAAAGAAAAGTATTTTCTGGTAATGTCTTAATATCTTTAAAACATACTTAGTGATATTTTTTAATTGTACATAGTGGTAGGTGCTGGCATGTGCTTCTCCATGTACAGGTAGAGCACCTGAATTTTTCTATCACTACTGATATAAAGTAATTGTTTTCTCATTTTATGGTTTTTAAGAAGTTTCTCAAGAATTTTCTACCCTTGCATTAAAACAAATGACAGTGCAATTCCACGTGTTTTGGTCAATTTTTTCAAAGTGACTATCAGCCAGCTTCATAGATAATTGCTTTATTTAGGTTTACCTATGCAATAAACTAGTTGTCTTCATTAGTAATAACAACTCTGCATAAATAACCGTGTGAAATGTGCTTGTATCTTGGTGCTGTTAGTGCTCCAAAGCACTAACTTGATGTGAAAGCAAACTTGATGTGAACGTCTGAACTGATTATGTTTATGAGCTTTGCAACATGTTAGTTAGAATTACCCTCATTTACCAAATGCCACCTCATTGACAATCCTATCACTGGGGTTAGGAGCTGGGAAAACAGTTTATTATTAATGATGTCCCACTGTGTGTGTTGGATGGCCACACCGTTTTTCAATTCAAAATGTGATGGTGTCAGAAACTGTGATTATAATAGCCCAAATGGCCCAATGTGGTCAGATGCACTTAGATAGTGTTTTCAGATGTGAGATGGATCTCTAGACCAGATTTTTATCTTTGGAAGGTTGATACAGCACTAATTCTACTGGCGTTAGTGTTGAATGTGGTCTAGTTTAGCTGTACTTTCAAGATCATGGATTGGGCGGAAGAAGAGTGTAAGGGGAATTTATGGAAAAGAGCCCACAAGTTCACGTTGCTTGCTATAAAACAAAACTTCTCTTTTACTCTGTCTTTGTCTCGAGTATCCCAAGGAACTATTCTCAGAGAATAGCCGAGTTTTAGAAATGCAAATCTTTATGCACATTAGAATGACCCCTCTCCAAGGGAGGAAGAGGAGAGTAGTGTGGAGGATTGTCGTCATGCCCACAAACTTCTACTGACTCCTCTGTAGAAGGGGAATTTCAAGCTAGGAAGATCTTCTAGTAGGTAGATGAAAAAAGATCATATCCTGCTTTGTGGCAGCCATGCCAGATGTCTGCTAAAAATAACCACACCAACATCTCTACCCTTAGGTTTTAATAATTTTATATAAAACATTTCAAAAATATAAATAAGAATATCCTAAAAACGAAAACCCATATCCTTAGCTATATGTGGACTTTTCAGCATTAAAATGGAACTTTCTAAGGGTGAAAAGTTTTAATGCATCAGTCGGTATTTCAGGTCAAAGAACATTTTTTCAGGTTAAGTATTGAATTTGGAGTCTGACTTCTGCTAGTTTTATGCTGCAACAGTTCCACCCCAGTAAACTTCCATGGAGTCCCTCCTGTTTTCATGGCTATGTGAAAGACAGTTTGGTCTTGCAGATGACAAAATAAGTAAATTTATTTAGGGTCCTGGGTTGAAAATGCTGTAAAATATTCTTAAGTGTATTCATTTGGACTGCTAATGATATAAATATTCTGGTTTAGATCACTGCTGATTTGATTTGAATAATTAGTAACAGACGACAATTTTGCTTCAGATTGGATTTTCACCTAAGAATTAAGGAAAAACTGACTGCTTTTTCTCTTGTAACACCATGTCCAGAGAAAACGAGTGTCAGTAATAGAATCAGTAAGTTGCCAGGTAAAATGGTTGTAAAGGAAAAGGAAGGAATTCTCTAAAGAAAATGGAAATTACTTCCCTTAAAATGCAGCATTCACATTCTTTTTAGTCTATAAAAAATTTAGGATTTACCTCAGTCTGTCATGCTGCTTCATGGATTTAAAATGCAAGAAATCTTATGGGCCTTAATCTTTTGCATAGAGTGAAAAATGTTCTTTCCATTTTACCTTTTCGCTTCTTTCTCGTGGATAGATGCACTTGCACATGTGCATACACAAATTCTGATTAAAAGTAGGGGAATCAAGAAATTAGCTCCCAGGCTTCTCTTCTGTTTTAAGTCTTGCCAACTTGCTGGACTCTTACCATTAGCGAGGAGCCTCAGGTCTCTTTTCACTGCCACTCAGCTCAGTTTGAAGTCACCACTGCTGCAGATTTGGTTCAAAGTGACGTGCCGTGCTTGCCTTCTCCATGCACGAGGGCTGCCCAAGGAGAAGCGGGAGGAGACGGTGGTTACGGTGCTGTCTGTGCTTGCTCTGGAGGGCTTTTTTGCATTTAACCCAGGGCTACCCTCTGGCTGTTTGAGTGTTGTGCAGGGCTGGCAGGAGGCAATGTAGCTGGAGTGGAAGTTGAAGAGCCAATTAATTGTTTGTCTTTGTTCAGGTAAGGCAGTTAACCATCCACGACAGGGCCGCTTGCTGTCTAAGGGACTGTGGAATAACTTTTCTTTCTTTCTTGGCAACTCTTCTCTGGGATGAGACCCTTTCTTTATGGACTTTTACCCAGTTCTGTCTTCTATTTGCTCCTGCCTTCTCATTACTGCCTTAGCTTTTAAACCTTTTTCCTCATCAAACCGGCAACTCCTTGTTCATGTTAGGTTTGCATTTTTTTTTTTTTAAAAGCAGCAGTTCTGCAAGTTTAGCTTACCACATACTATAGGAGGTGTTCCTGCAGAGTCTGCCAGCAGAAACTTCCGCAGTAATGTATTCCTGTTAAAAATTAAGCAGTGTCTGAGGGCTCTTGCAAGCAGTTTTGAAGATGACTTCCTTTCCCAGAGTACAGGCAAGCGTGTGTGGGCATGCATATGTGGGATTGATTTCTCCATGTGGACTTTTTTCATGGAGTACAACTTTAGACCAGGTGAGGACAGAATAGGACTGCAGGATTTTTGAATCATGGTCTTTGTTTGTTGTTTTTGGGTTTTTTTTTAAATATCTGTCTTTAACAAGTCTCAGACGTGCAATTTAGCACATGGGAAACAAAATCTGCACCTCTCACAATGAACACAGAAAGATTAGATCTTAGTTTAAATTCTCGATTCCATTATCATTAGTCTTCATTTTATTGAAAGCTGTAAGAGGAAAAACTTGCTGCTAAAGCCGCTGGTGTTCTTTTCAGGCCCTGCTCCCGGAAATTAATGGGAGCTTTGCCATTAATTTGAACGGGGACAGGATGTTGTGCCGTATTGGCATAGGTGCAACCAAGTTGTGTGTTCTTTTGAACTTCACTTTCCTTTCAGCTCTTCTCTCATTGAATCCCTGAGCCGTTTTCACAGCACCTTGCTTGGAACGTGGTTGAAGCTCTTCTGACATCCCTGCTGTTTGTGTAGTTGTTGTTGCATCTGCCATCACCGTTTTGCTCTCATTAGGTGCCGTAGTTTTTCCTTCTCTCTCGTTCACTTCACGCATTGTAGGTAACGACGTTATTGCAGGGTGGATGTTTGCGTTCCGACCCCCTAGTGTCCAACGACTCTCCCTCATCAATAGTGCTGCGTTAGCCACGTTGAGTTACCACACTTCATGTATCCGCTCCCCTGCTGTTGAAAACAGCTTCCATGCTTCACCTCATCAGCAGATGTGTCTTGCAGTTTAAAGGAAAGGTGGTATGGTGGTGAGACAAAAGTCATGCTTTTTAGCATAGTACTGGCTAACAAAGTGAGTACTTTGCAGTGAGGAACAGTTTGATTCTACTTAGATTTTTCTCTTGTATTCATCCCCATGAAAAGTCTATTTGCACTGAAGCACAGCAGCTGCTAACATTAAGTTAGAAATGGTTTTAGTATCATATCCCAAGGGACCCTAATGAGGATTTCCTGAAGTTCTTGCATATAGGTCACGGGTGTGAGCGAGGAGGCAAGGAGGGATATGAAAGTCCCGAAGCACTTCTTGGGCATATGCCAAAACCAGAGATGTGCATTATTGTCTTCAAATGCAGAGTGATTGAGCATATGGGGGGATGCACGTGGCGTGAAAGATCTTATTGCGTAAGAATAACTGCACCAGGTCAGATTAGCATGGTACCCTGTGTCCTTTTAATTAAGATTTATGGGAAGGGGATGTTTCTAAGTTTCATAATGGCCTGTGGTGGATGCAGAGGGAAGAGCAAGGACAGGAGAAGGAAAACTATGACTCTTAAAAATTGGATTTTCTGTCAGGTGCACAATTTCCATTCCTTTTTGTAGGCAGATCATTCCAATCAGTTTATTTATCTATATTTATGTTAGTGGGTAATTTTGAGGTTACAAGAGGAAAAATGAAAAACAGGTCGTTCTGCTTTCATTTGTATGTAGACAAGATAATTATATCTTTGCTGTAAACCAGTGGATTTTTACGCCCCACAAGAGAGCAAATGTTTGGCTTATTGCCAGCCATTATTCTGCCCTTAGTTTGTAAATCACCTTTTTTTCCAGCAAGCTAGGCATGTATGCAATGCCTTTATAGTCACAACAAACACAGCAGCAGAGCATGGCATTTTCATTGGAATATGAGTAAATACAGAAAAAAATCTTACTATTTTAAGTCTCTATACAAAAGCTTATCCTGGAATCTCTGTGAGTATGAAAGCACTGCATTGTCCTTGAGAGGTGACTTTTGTATTTTATGAGTTTTGAGGAGTTTTGGTTTGCCACTTTAGGATGCATATGGTTTAAGCACAGCTGCATTGGGTTGTGTGTTTAAACACTCCTCCATTTGCCTACTAATAACACTGAAATCTTTGTCAAAGCTGTCTCCAGGTTTAAAGCATCCGTACAAAAAAGAATTTGATAGTTTCTTTCTGGTTTTGTGGTATCAGATGCTTTCTGCTGAGACACAAATGAAAGAAGGATAAGGAGACAGGCATAAAAGTTCTTAGCACCAAGTATTTTGACACTGAATGTAACAATGAAGCAAAGTAGCCCAGACATACTTCATACCCTTCAGAAGCTCATGCAGGAGGTGAAACAAATTGTTAGCAGCACAGTGATGATTTTTGAAGTTCTTTGGGAAGGATTAGAGAAGGAAGGAAGGAAAGGACAAGAGGCAGAGATGGAAAAGGATGAGGTTATAGGAGTGAAAGTATGAGAATGATGGGGGCATGAAGGGAAACAGGCAGCAAAGGTGAGGTAACAGTAGTGGGGTTTGGTTGCATTGGTAAAGGAGGCTGAGGACAAATGCAATAGTAGGTTAAGGTAAAGTCAGGGCTCTAGCCAATCATTTTAATGCCTTGCGGTTTAGCAGTTTGATACTTTCTCTTTTTTCCCTCCTACTCTGGTTCTCTATCATGTGGCTCATCCTGAGATGGTGGTAAGTGCTGGGGCTGCCAAGGCAGGAGTGACTGGTTTGCCTCTGGGGCTTTTTTTAAACTTTCCTCCCCCACCTTTTACACCCTCTCATCTTACTTCTGTTTCAACCCTGGATACAATGTCCAGAACTGTTGAACAGGATGATCCAAATTGTTTATACTTTTATTCTGTTGCTATTTCCACTTACTTAATGTTTTAGCTATGTCCTCACTGTGCTGTTCTGGTGGTGTTCATTTGGGGAGCTCTGAGTCTTCCTGTGTCCTGTAAGTCCAGTAAAGTGCAGTGATAACTGTTCCCTTGGGGCCAAAAGAGATCCAGCCTGCTAAACTGGATTCAGTCATATGATATGGCTAATCCATTACAGCTCTGAAAAGTAAATGTGGTAGCTAATCTCCGTTGTCACTTTTATAGGAAACAATCAAACAAAATTTACAAACTAGATTTACTTTAGTGGAGTTACAGGAGCATCACAGATTAAGACAGCAGCGAGTTGTTTCTTCTCCTGTGGCTTCCTCGTTTAAGATATAAAGCTGTAAATCTCGGTTTGCAAGATCTGAAATTCAAATGTTAACTGAAAAATTTAACAAACTACTGACAAAAACTTCTTTTCCTATTTCCATCTGCAGGAGGTCACCAAATCTGTGCAACCCCTTCTGCTGGGAAGAATCATAGCTTCCTATGATCCAGACAACTCTGATGAAAGATCCATAGCCTACTACCTGGGCATTGGCCTGTGCCTTCTCTTCCTTCTGAGAACACTACTCATACACCCTGCTATATTTGGACTTCATCATATAGGAATGCAAATGAGGATAGCTATGTTTAGTTTGATTTATAAGAAGGTGATTGTTTCATTTACACTCAAAGCCAAACCTCTGTCTGCTGCCTACGTAACTTTTAGGCCGGTTTGTTGAAAGATTGATAGTTTTATTAGTCAAGGTACACAAAGTACACAAAAGCATAATGTGGCTAACATCAGTTTCTGACAGCTCTCCATTATTTCCAAAGAATTAAATACTTATGTACAACTGGTGTGACTGAATTCAGCCACCATGTGAGTAGAGCCTGGCTGGACATGTGGTGAGATGTCTTAATCATTCTGCCACTGTGCTCCTGTTATGCACATGTATTGCAAAGGAAGAATAGCATGTGCTGGTGGCCAAAGAATATTTTCCAAAGATGATTAGAGGTGAAGATTTGAACAGTAAATAAAACAATTTATAACAATAAAGGATTGAGTTTGAATGATATTGTGTGAGATATCCACAGCATGAAGAATTGACAGAAACTGATAATCACACATCCAAAGGCTTAAAAAGTTATTTGGCTTTACCAATACCAAAAGCAGCAAATTTGAACAAACATATTAGTTACTCCAGTATAAAGCTCACTGTGAGAACACCTTTCAAAAATATTTGTCAAGATAGACACAGTAGGAGATTTTTGAGGATGCACAGCAGCACACAGCATGCATGCTTAATTAAAACTTGCATTTGCATATATATCTATATACATAAAATATTCAACAGAAAGCAAGGTCTAAGTCGATAAATCAATATTTGTAAAGCAATTTAATGGCTATATTAAATTCAAGTGACATAAATAACAAAATTAATGAGACTCTCTTTATAGCATCAGCAGATAAGTGAATTGTTATTTATATTAGTGTACCATTGCTTATTATTTTTATCTGAATTTGTTCTGTTTTATAGGGAGTGAGTTATGGCCATTTTTCTATGGTTTTGTTTTCTTTTACAGATCTTAAAACTGTCAAGCCGAGTTCTAGATAAAATAAGTACTGGACAATTGGTCAGTCTTCTTTCCAACAATCTGAACAAATTTGATGAGGTACGTCATTGCTTGTTTAATCTACTTGGTGATCCATCAGACACAAAGGCAATACTTCAAGCTGTTCATGACAAATATTAAGGAAGGAAGGAAGAAGCATAAATGACGAACTGCACTGAGTGCTCATTGTAGATATAAAATGAATCACTACCTTAAGAAAATGTGTTGGCATGTGGTCATGGGAATGCTCATTCTGATGCTTACGACATCTTTTAGCTCCGATGCTGATTAGGAGAGGAACTTGGTATTTAAATACCAAGTATACCATAAACCCATGCTTGTTCTATGGTTCAGTGAGAACCTGCCAGGAACTCTCTAGGTTACACAGTTGGTTTCATACAGGTCGGAACTTGGTTCAATCTCCCCATCCTCTTTTCATGACCACCATGCCTTTTTACTACGGTGATCCAATCCATTCCTATTGTTGGTAAGTGATGATGTTCAGCATCTTGTTGCTGGTATTACCCACGTTCCTAAAAAGAAAATAAGTGTTGATGAAATACCTTTTTAGGAATGTTTCCTGCTATATCTCTTAGACAGTACTTCCAGTCTTCTGTAAAACTTCTGTTTTGTTAAAGACGCAGAGGTAAATCCCTGCTAATGACTTTGGGAACTGGAAACTCTATGAACTTCTGTTCAGCCTGTATGTTTAACTGTCCCATTGGTAGTATGAGATTTGCTTCTGATGAAAGAAGCAAGATCAGAGAGAATGTAGACACGCGACTGTAGCTATAGGATGTGTTCACTTTGAGCATCACATTACTATATAGAGCAATATCAGCTAGTCCTGAACGAGCTAGGACAAGTGCCCTGTCACACACAGGATACACTCCAAAATCTCCCCCAATGCGAGGGAACAAGAATGAAATAGGCAGCAATCTGTTTTGATTTAGTATGTTCACACGACAAGTCATCTCTTCACCAAAGTAATATTTTCCTCCTGTATCAGATTAAATCACATGCTTCTGTGTATTTTTCTCATCTTGCAGTGGCTGAAAAAGCCAGCATCGCTGACAAATTCTGTTTACTTTTATAAAGCTGGGTTTTTTCCTCGTGCATATGCATAGCAAAGAGACAATGCAGACTGACCTTTGCCTTACAGAAATCAAAGCTTAAGTGTGGAATGTATATGTATATGTATTGCTGCACTGTCATCATAATTAACACCCAGAATGCTATGTGCTCGGGTTCACAAATCCTCCTTTCTAAACTTGTTTTACTGCTGGAAATATTTGTGCTGTCTTCATTACATTTTTCAAAGTGTCACTTTCATGACTTCTTCCTTCTCCTGTGGTTTTCCAAGTACATCTATAAATTGTATTATTATTATTTTCTGATTTGGGCTTCCACAGGGTCTTGCTCTGGCTCATTTTGTTTGGATTGCACCTCTACAAGTGGCACTGCTGATGGGACTGCTCTGGGATATGTTAGAAGCTTCTGCATTTTCTGGACTTGCTCTTCTAATAGTCATGGCCTGTTTCCAAGCCTGGCTGGGACAAAAGATTATGAAATACAGGTGACAAGACTGTTTTAAAATATTTCAATATATTGTCCTGAAACACATTGCTTTAAGAAGTGTATACCACTTGAGTAAGAGTCTCTAGTCAGGACGTTGTTACAGAAGAGGAGTCCAAAGTCTGTTGGCTGAGTTGGGAAAGTAATGGACAAGCCTTTACTTATTTAACAGCAAATGCTAAACCTAACAAAATGAAAGGTCCAACGTGCAGTAAATAGTGATAATGCTTTGTAGAATTTAAACTCGATGTTAGTGACTTGCTTTATTATTTTTAGAGCTTTTATTAATTATTATTATAATATTATGATAACATTATAATTACTTAATTTATTATATTAAATTATTTATCTATGTTATTTTATGTTTATTTATTATTAAAAATTACTAGATTTCTAATAATTCCTTTCACATTCTTTGTAGTAATTCTGTTAAAATACGCATTTTTAGTGTAGACATACAGGGAAAGTGATTTTGTAAGATGTAATGGGATAGAAAATAACTATACAGGATGAAAATGATGAAGATTGACCTACTGCCTTTCTACTTTGTAGGAACAAGAGGGCAGGAAAGATCAATGAGAGACTTGTCATCACCTCAGAAATAATTGAAAATATACAGTCAGTTAAAGCTTATTGTTGGGAAGATGCAATGGAAAAAATGATTGAAAGCATCCGTGAGTAAGTGTTCTCATTTGTTAGTCAAATTTTTTATATGCTCAGAATTAGATGGCTATGAACACCGTCTGTGGTCTTGTTAGTAAAGAAGTAAAGCACACAATTATTAATCCTCCATAAACTAGCTGTGCATTCCATACAGCAGCTTGGTTTTTTTTCCCAATTTGTCAAGTTCACAATGGAGGTGAGATTTTTTTATTTTTTATTTGCTTCCTCATTTGTTATAATGATATTTCAGTGGTGAGTTTACGCAGGTAGAACAATGGTGGCATCTGTGTTTGTTTCCGGCCAACCCTATCCTCAACTTGCAATAAAAAGCCCTTTTGTGATGATTACTTAAGGCTTTACAGATTTTCCTATTCTGCGGTGAAGGAAACAGTATGAGCCCTCTGCAGCCATTTTCTGAGAAATGCAATAAAGCTGGTTTTAAACGCTACATGCACTCTGTGAAAGGATTATAGTGCAGCTTCATGTATTCATTCTCCACAATTGCATTATCATTTATCTGTAGGTAGCCTTGTATAATGCTTATCTCTTCAATTAATATCAAGACTGAACTGGAACTACCAGACCTGAAGCAGAAAGGAAATAAAAGATCTAACCTAGTTAGCTCTAGAGAGCCATGAGAAGGTCTTCCTTACCGACAGGGAGTCCTGGGGGAAGGGAGAAGTGACATATTGATTGATGAGTGACGCTGCACTAAAGCTGTCCCGTGTGTTTGTTTAGTCCTTTACGGAGAATTAAGAGTCTCTGCCAGGTGTGTGATTGGGAAAATAAAAGAAAATGAGAGAAATGTAAGTGTCATATTATCGTGTAAATAAAAGGGATGAAACAATATTATTACACAAACACCTTCTTGTTCAGCTGCTTTCTGAAACACAACACAGGGAAAGTGAAGTGTTCTTTACCTTTAGAATAAGGAAGATCTTAAAATTTGTAATGATTTACTGCAAACAATCAGAGAAGACTCCATCTGAATCCAGGCCAGGAGTTCCAGCTCAAGGATGAAACCCGGTTAAGATTCCCCCGCACATTCCTAGTCACGTGCATTACTTACAGAAAATTTGAGATCCCATCTTGTGACCAAATCATTTTAGTCCACAAAATGGTCAGAGAAACCTGGAAAAAGGGCTGTCATTTTATGATCTATATTTTCTGCAATAATTTAGAGTAAAATTTGTAATCCTGGAATTCAATTTCTATTATATTACGCATGGATTTTTAAGACAAGAATGCTAGCAGTATTACAAGATCAAAACATCTTTCTTCTACTTCTCTGCACCAAAATACCGTATTTTTTGAGTGATGTAACAGGTCACTTGGTGAAGACATCGCCAGAACAGGTGAACCCAGAATGTCAGAGTTTCAATTGACTTTTGCTTGCTGAGCCAGCTGTGCAGGGCCTCCCAGTCAGTTGGCTTGTTAAGCTGATAAAAAATGAGACCTTGCCATGTGCGTGTGAAGCCATGCCTGTATTTTAGCAACAGTGAGTTATAACTCAGTCATTTCCAAACTGCTTCTGAATGCAGGCATTTTCTGATGCATCCCAGTTTAATCAGCTTGAAGGAGCCCTTGCTCTGCTAGACTTGAGCTACCAGGGCTACCCATCCTGCAAGTGTGATGCTGCTGCGGGGAAACTACCCCGAGGAACTGTAACACTTCAGAGGGACCAATATGGTTTGTCTCTTGTGTGCTCTCTGAAGTCTGTCCTGATAACTCTTCGTAACAGGTGTTTGAATAAACATACCTGTGCTCCTGTGGGCTTTGCAATGTATTTAGAGAGGTGAAAAACACACCATTAGACTGTTCCCCTGAGCAATAACATAGCACTGGAGAAGGTAAAGTCCAAGGCTGGAAGTGGGTATACTTGGTCAGTGGAAGGTACATCTTTATATGAAGCAAAGGATCTGAAGTTCATGTATTTGTACTGATTCCTGACACATTCTTCAAAAATGGGCATACACTGGTCTATGCTCTATACATGCATGAGGCTCATAGTGTCCCTTACATCTCTCTCCAAGTATCCATATTACATCAGCAAGACCCGTCCTAAATCATAGAATCATAAAATCATCTAACTCCAACTCCCCTGCCATGGGCAGGGACACATTCCACTAGACCAGGTTGCTCAAAGCCCCATCTAGCCTGGCCTTGAACACTTCCAGGGAGAGGGCATAAGTGTTTAATTTATAGGGCTCTCAAGCTTGTATTGCAGGCAGAGACACCTCTGGAAAACTTTTGCTTGTGGCTGGGTCAGATTGTGCCTGGTCCTTGGCAGCATACTGAAGAGGGTTAGTGCTTTGATTCTTTCTCTCTTTACAGTAGTGGCTATGTGCTTCAGCACTGAGGGGCTTTTTGATAGCTTCTAACCATGCATTTATTTGGAACTGGATGAGCATCAAGCCCCAAAATCTTTATCCCTATTCAGTTCTGCCACCCACAGCCTCATATAAGCTCTGGAGAGACTACAAGGCCCATTCTCCAGGGCAGTGGTTACAACTGTGGTGGTGACCCTTGTATCTGGCTACTTTCTTCAGCCCTCTTTTGTGAAATACAGACTTAACAGAGTACTTACCCAGTGAATGGGCACTGTGGGGTCTAGGTCCACCTCTAGCCCCAGTTAATTCTCTTGCAGAAGCATGATTGCTCTTTCACTACAGCGGTGATTCCTCTGTTTAGGAAAAGCAGAGCTGCAGGGCACCTGGGGAATGTGAACAGAGTCGAAATGAGAGCAGTCAGTAGCTTCAGAACTGTGAGTTAGGGCTATCAACTCCAAAAATGAATTGTACTCCCTGAATTATTTCTCTTTTCATTAAATAGTTTGCTGTAAGATGCACAGACATTGTGAGAGCAGCTAACAGTTTTGGCCAGTTGCATTCCTGACTACACAGCGATCAGTAGGCTACTCTGTAGACTGAGCTTCTATGGAGAAAGGAGGGTGAAGACCAGACTCCCTGCCTTCCACTTATTCAAGCTCAGGTTAACTGGTACCTTACTTCATGGGAGAAACTGTTAGTAGGGTGATCTGCAAAAGGAGATCACACTAGAATTAAATTGTGGATTGTTCTTAGTTTTTTCTATGGTCATGTATAATAAATCCATAATTTTGAAGTATATTATTTCTAGGGGAGTTACGTATCTAGATGACCAGATGAATATGGGATGATCCTTCTGGGAGTGTATCATGTACCACAGCATTAGATGCTTAACGATGGTTGTGCCAGGAATTGTAGAGGCTTGTGATTTATGAGGTACCTAAATCATGACATAGATAATTTTTATTTTGTCTGACATCTCTGAACATTGGTGCCAAAATTTAACTTCAGTTATTATCACAGAATCACAGAATGCTAGGGGTTGGAAGGGAAGATCATCTAGTCCAACTCCCCTGCCAGAGCAGGATCACCTACAGTAGGTCACACAGGAACACGTCCAGGCAGGTTTTGAATGTCTCCAGAGGAGACTCCAATTTTTTAGGTCCAAAAGTTGCCTTGAATCTTTCTTTTAACTGCAATACTAGAAAATAAGAAGGGTGAATGAGCCTCTGAGTTAATTGTTTTACCAACAATTTCACACAAAACGTTTGTAAGATATAAAGTGTGGAATCATATACTAATTATTTGTATTTGTTTTTTTAACAGAACTGAACTGAAGCTTACCCGAAAAGCTGCTTATATGAGATATTTCAACAGCTCAGCCTTCTTCTTTTCGGGCTTTTTTGTGGTGTTTTTAGCTGTGCTTCCATATGCTTTGCTAAAAGGAATTATCCTCCGAAAAATATTTACTACCATTTCCTTCTGCATTGTTCTTCGAATGACAGTGACCAGGCAGTTTCCTGGGTCCGTACAGACCTGGTATGACTCTATTGGAGCAATAAACAAAATACAGGTAGGGTACATGCACTAACCTTCCCAAGTACGTAAGCTAATTCTTTATAGCATGTTATCTTGTCAGTTGATCAACAAAAGCGCAGAGCATTTATGCAGACTTTCCAAATATACTATATGTTGCTTTGACTAAACACCATGAAATGTCATTATAAATCTTGATATTGTTATATGGTTCCCCAGGCAGCATAACCACAGGAGCCTCATGCTACCTGAATGCTGCTTTTTTTTTGGAACGTTGGCATTTAGTTATTTCTTCTCATTGCACAGTAAGGTACTTAAAAATATATCATGAGTTGTGGTGCATGAGAGATGTTTTTCCTTCAGAAAAGGAAGTACAAAATTAGTACATGTTTTATATAGCACGGCTTCCAGTAGTTGCAGTCATAGATCTTCTGTTTTTCTAGCTATTAGTGGCATGAACAGCAGGAGATTGTGCATCTTATGCAAATATGCATCTTATTCATTAGGAGTAGTAAACATAATTAAGGTACTGGTCAAATAATTATTACCTTCCTTGCCTACTGAGATCAATTACTTATATACCAGCATGAGAGGCTTATCTGCAGAGTCAAATCAGGGTGAATTCTCATTAACTTTATCTGGTTTATCTGCTGCTCTGAAATCACTCCTCTGGAAAAGAGTTCTTTTTCTAGTTCAGAGTGAAATTGTAGGCTTTTTAAACATATGTTTTAGGTGTTACTTAATGAAAACAGATTTTACTATTTTTAGTGTGATAAAAATAAGTAACACCAAACTTAAAGATCTTAATCACAGACCCATAGAATCATAGAATGATTTGGATTGAAAAAGACCTTAAAGATCATCTTGTTCTGACGCCCTAAGCATGGACAGGGACACCTTCCACTAAACCATCAAAGCCCCATGCAGCCTGGCCTTGAAGACTTCCATGGAGGGAGCATACACAGCTTCCTTAGGAAACCTGTTCCAGTGCCTCACCACTTCCACTGTGAAGAATTTCTTCTTAGTATCTAATCTAAATCTACTCTCAGTTTAAAAATGTTATTCCTCATCCTATCACTACACTCTCTGATGAATCTTTCTTATAGCCCCCTTTAAGTACTGGAAAGCCACTATAAAGTCTTCCCAAAGCCTTCACTTCTCCAGGCTGAACAACCTCAACTCCCTCAGCTTGTCCTCATGAGGGAGATGCTCCAGCCCCTTCATCATCTTCATGGTTCTCTGGACTTGCTCTAACAGTTCCATGTCCTTTTTAAGTTGGGGGCCCCAGAGCTGGACACAGTACTGCAGGTGGGGGTCTCATGAGAACAGGGCAGAGAGAGAGAATCACCTCCCTTGACCTGCTGGCCACACTTCTTTTGATGCAGCCCAGGATGTGATTGGCCTTCTGGGCTGCAAGCACACATTGGTGGCTCATATTCAGTTTTTCATCCAACAAAACTCCCACATCCTTCTCCACAGGGCTGGTCTCAATCCACTTATCTCTCGGCCAGTATTAGTGCTTGGGCTTGCCCTGACCCAGGTGCGGGACCTTGCACTTGGCCTTGTTGAACTCATGAGGTTCATGGGCCCACCTCTCGACCCTGTTAAGGTCCCTCTGGATGGCATCCCTTCCCTCCAGCATGTTGACCGCACCACACAACTTGGTATCATTGGCAAACTGGCAGTTGTCAGCAGACATAATCAGAACTCTGAACTTTAATATAGAGTAAGAAGCAGATATTGGGTTTTTATGATTTTCAGATGTGCAGAAAATTCAAGAAATCTAGCCATAAACCCTGATGTTCGACATTCAGAAAGCTGCCTCATTGCTTTCCAGTTTAGGCAGTCCTTGAGCTCTTGGATTCCCTAGGCATTAGTGGAGGTATGCTGTCTCCCCCTGGTTCCTGGAAGACTATATCCAGTCCTCTGTCACAGAACCGGCAAGCCCAGTTGTTGTACCATTGCCCTCATTTTGCCAAACACTTTTCTCTGAGTATATTAGCTCTGGGGGTGCTCTGGAATCCTTAAATAATCACCTCTTTGTGGCAGGTTCAGAGACAGACTGCACAGAATCCCAGAACACCGATGTCCTTTACTTGTCACAAAAAACATAAGCAAAGATAATAAACCACTCATAAAATTCTCTGATTTAATTTCCTTATTGGTTTGAAGAGTTCACTGGGCCAGATATGTCCCCTGGGTTATTGTATTTTCCCTGTAGCTAGACCCATGTTTTTGAGGCCATTAAGTGTTTCAGGAGCTGTGTGCTTTTTCTGACTATCATTGCTCCAGCAGCCCTGCTGGATGACCCCACTGCCTTTGTTAGGAAAGCCTAGCTAATATTTCCTTCTTTCTTTTTGCATTAACTGTGTGTGTTTTGCCTTCTGTTTTTTTCAGTTCCTGCCCTTTCAGTCATGTGCTTTTTCCTTTCTGCTTATTCTACCTAGGAAGTTTGCAGGTTTACTGTAGAACTGGTTTTCCCCTCATATCTGCTTAGACACTTATACACACACTGTATGGTCTGTGTAGACCTACTTGGTTCCACATAATTAAAAATTATAATCAAGAGGAGATGATAGCTACAGACTGCATAACCTTAACAAAATAATGGAAGAGAGAAGTTATCTTTCCAACATTAGTATAGACTTATTCTTTTTTCCTGATACTATCCCAGAAGGTAGCACAAAGTTGCTGATTCGTGTCATTTGAAATTACACTACTTCAGTGCTGCACTGGCCAGGATCATTTTCTGCCTTTCTTCTTTGTTGGTAGAGACCTTATTCTAACTCTTTTAAACTCTTGCAGTTTTGGAATAGGGAGATAGGCACACATAGCTGCTTTGTTTCATTGTTTGCCAGAGTGCGACCTTCCACGTCTTTCTCCAAACCCAAGGTTTTATTTTAAAAGGATTAAGGTCAGAGGAGCGATGCTGCCTAGTACAAGTCCTGAAAGCAAAGGAAATGCCAGGTTTTGATATTCTTTCTAAACCAGAACCAAATACGTTTATGGTTATGTTTTTACGAGCAATGAAATAATTGGTGGTTTCAAAAACATTTCTTTCAGCATCTGAAAGAGGTTGTATAAGCTGTATTTATGTCTCTAAGACGCTACAGTGCAATAGCACCTTCAGAAATATTAGGCAGTTCTCAGTGTTGGCAGATATGTACTGCTTTGTGTGATACAGACATCATCCCTTACCAGTTCCTCTCATCTGCTTTCATGGTGTTTCTAGGATTTCTTGCTGAAGAAAGAATATAAAGCCCTGGAGTATAATCTAACAACCACTGGGGTTGAGCTGGACAAAGTAACAGCTTTTTGGGATGAGGTTAGTATATTGACTCAAGCTAAACTAAAACGCAGAGTGTATCTTTTTTACCAATGTTTGCCTTGCTGTTCTCTAAAAAGAGCTGTGTACAGTTTTTTGTTTTAACTGGCTTCAGCTATCAGCAGGCAAGAAATATATGGCAATTAATTAATACATGATAAGAAATTATCTATGATTGAGGAACTTTGGAAGAAACCTTTTAATAACTGATAGAGCCTGTAATAAGTAGTTATTTCTAATTTAAGCCATCCTGAAAACAGAATCAGGCTGTGGCATGTATGATCATTGGAAAGCAGTTCTATAATAGACAAATTTTGTTTGTGTCCACAAATTTGGGAGCAAGTCCAATACTACTAATAAAAATATATATGATTATGGATATAGAAAGTATATTATAGATAGAAAAAGTAGCAATAGATTTGTAAACTCATATGTCTTTGTAAGTCCATAGTGTGATATACATGTCTGCATATGCATGTTCTAATTATTTTTTATGTACATTCAAATACACATCTATGTGTGTTGCAGGGAATTGGGGAGCTGTTTGTGAAAGCAAACCAAGAAAACAACAATAGCAAAGCTCCTAGCACTGACAAGAATCTCTTCTTCAGTAATTTCCCCCTTCATGCCTCTCCTGTTCTTCAGGATATAAATTTCAAGATTGAGAAAGGACAGTTATTAGCTGTTTCCGGATCTACTGGAGCAGGCAAGGTATTGCTATTTCTGTTGTTCAACAAGAGTCCTGATAACTTTAAGGAATAATACTGTGTTGCTCTCTGTATTGTTACTGTGTTCTTGCTGTGCTCACTGTAAAAATGATGACTGCAGGAAAAAGTTTGAATAAAATGGCCAATAGTAATTTGAAGTTTTTCTCTGTGGCCAATATGAGAAAGAGTTTGTTGGGTATTTTTCGTACACACAGGGATACAGGCTTAATAAGGAAATAGTAGTTTAAATGACAAAACAATTTTCAAGAGAAAGTAAAAGGAGGTTTGCAGGAATAATGCAGACTGAAACTTAAAGTTAATGCTCAGGATGAGAATCTCCCTGCCTTTAAAAACAATAAACTGGAGAATGCAGCATAGATATCCAGAGGTCTCATTGTGCTAGAAAGCAGACTTTTTGTTTTTTTCCTGCCTTGCTAATATTTTAAGGAAAAATTTGAACACAAGATGGTCAGTAACCTCACAAGCCTGGCATAGATTAGCCAGGTAAGATACGTGGACAAGCGGTGTACTTGGTTGCTTGTGCTCTGGTTCTTGAAGTCCCTCACTCAGGCTCCCCAAGTCCTGTATGAAAGCCTGGGGAGACACTGCTGAAGCTGGTGTTTTTCTGAGAAAAGTTGTGGTTTAGATTGACTGTCATTTTAGAACCCCAAAACAGTACATTTAGTTCGCAGGTAACACATCCCATTAACCTCATTAATATTAAATAAGTTGAACTGTGATGCTCTTATTCACTTTGAATTGCAAGTAATTAGATGAGTCTTTCATCTTCACTGGGTTTTCTGAGGAGATGTGAAAGTCAAAACATTCATTATGCCTTTGGCAGCTTTTCTTTTCCTGTTTAACAAATTATTGGTGATTTCTTTGACTTGTGTGGAGTCAATGGCAAAGCACCCATCGATTTTTATATGATCGAAGCTTCTATATTATGTTTCAGCAATGATACCAGTAAGAAAGAGCAAGGGACTCAGGACATGAGTTCTCAAGCTGATACATTGAGGTGCATTTTATTTTGATACTTCTGAATTACCAAAATAGTTTTCCTATGTTGCTGATAATCTCAGAAGGCTATTGCTACAGCTGATACTGGTAATATAAAACTGTGAGCCAGAAAGTGCTGAAGGACATATGTGTATCTCCTTCAGCTGCTTAGGAAATGCAGGAAAAATCTGATTACACTGGGCAGTTAATGTGAGTGTATGCATACAAGGTTTACAAAAATAAGTTTTACACCTCCCCCTCAAAAAAGGCATTTCTCTTTTTCCTTTACACCTTCTTAATTTAAGGTTTCTTTCATGCTGTTTGAGGCCATTACTGTATATTCCAGGAATTGTGAAACAAATGACACACTTTATTTTGTCTTTAACATGTATGAAGCCTGACATCAGCTCTTTAGTAGTGCTTCAGTATTAGATAGGGTTGGGGTTTGATTTTATTTTTTTTTTCTTTTGTATTATATGGCACAAGACACAGTATTTTAACATCCAGTGTGGAAGCCATACTAGGTGGCTGTCCTTTGCAAGATCAGCATTTTGGAAAAGTCAGTTTCTGGTATAATGGAAAGAATCTCATGAGACTCCCCATATATACGGTATAACTTGTCAAAGGATCTCTGGGCTTGACAGCATGAAACTGTGACTTAGACAGATTTTTTAGATCTTTGGCTGTTACGTCCCAGCTTTGTTGACTGTTTATTAGTGATAAGAACACCACTGGAATGGCTCTTTACATATTTTTCCTTGTATTTCTCAATTCTATTCTTTGATCTAGTGGCCAGTGATGTGTGATAAGGTTTCTACAAGCTACTGATTAACTCTGAAATTATAACGTTGGTACTGAAATTGCAATCAAGTCTTTTATGAAAGGAAATAGTAAATATACGTAGGTCATGTATTCACGTAAATGAGTTAACAGTTACAGAGGAAAATTCAGATCACACTCAGCAGTTTGTGAGTAATTGTATGCACATACACAAAGAGTTGCATTTTTCAAGGCAATACAGATAAAAGGCTTATGAACAGTAGCAAAATTGTAAACATGGATTGTGTTGTGCAAAGAACAAACAAAATAGTCACTGGTAATGTTAAAAATCAGGTAACATTCTCCATATATACTAATACCTTATGCCTGTGTCTCAGATGCTCACATTTTTACCTTGTAAAGTTACTGAAACTTTAATTAAAACATTGTAGAGCAGCATTCATTTTTACAAGGTATCTTATGCATTTTTTATCGTTCATTCAATGAAGTTTCTTTCATTTCAGAGACCTTTCAGAAGCATACGTATCATGAAAATCTCCAGTAATTGCAGCTTGCACTACATCACTACTTACAGGGACACTCTACAAGACAAATGTACCATTTAATTGACTTAGCAGAATGACTCTTGCTTTGTTTAGCATTTCTTGTGGTTGTATAGATCTCTGATATATTAACCAGATGTTAATCATTTTTCAGACTTCTCTTCTGATGATGATAATGGGAGAACTGGAGCCTTCGCAGGGTAAAATTAAACACAGTGGAAGGATATCCTTTTCACCTCAAGTCTCCTGGATTATGCCTGGAACAATAAAAGAAAACATAATTTTTGGAGTATCATATGATGAATACCGATACAAGAGAATGCCAACTAGAAGAGGTCAGTCATCTAGGACTCCTAAGACTCGTGAACCAGCCCAAGTAAAAAATCCTAAAGAAAAAGTCAGGGAATGGAGCTTTAAGTAAGGGAGACACTTCTGAGATTTAAGGAACTCAGCCTGGCATCCCAATTCTGTGGAACTGCATGTCAGCCTGTTGCCAGCTCCTTGGGAGATACATCGACAGTGCCAGTTCTGGTAGTTTACACAACAGAAGCTAAATAAGCTGGCTCAGTTACTATAAGATGTTTGCCTTCTCAGTCTTCCTTGCTAGTTAAAACTTGAGTAAACATATTAATGTTACAGAAATTATGTAAAAATTATTGCTCCTAAATCTTTTTTTTCAAGTTTCTTCCGCATAAAGAAGCTTTTCCTTACAATCTTGGAAATTAACCTGTTTTCCTCCTTTCTTTTGCACTTCAGAAATGGTTCTGGCGATAATTAGAACTCTATGTCAGAAGCTTGAATTATTTAGGGAAAAATCTTGACAAAAGCTGGGTTTTTCTGCATGCACATTGAAAATTCTCACACTAGAAATTATTGCAGGATTGATCTTTATGTGACAGTCCCAAGGGTCTTGATGATCCCAAGGGTCTTTTCCAATCTGGATGATTCTGTGATTCTGATTCTGTGTGACAGGTAGCCCACAGTTAGTACAACAACGTGGAAATGTCCTTGTCTGTGTTCGATGTTGCCAGAGGGTAGTGAAGGAAAAGACACCTTTTCACATTGCAAGATGCAAAAGGAAGCAGCATTTGAGACTTTTCCACCCTTAGTGCTGTCCCTTAGGTCAGGCATTCTGTCTGTAACATGTAGATGAAAACAATACATATTTAACTGTGCTGAATAAGATCTGTCTTTAGACCACACAGTGAAACGAATTTTCCTTTAGTGCCAGTCAAGCAAGAAAACAATAGCCAGTCTGTTTCAAAATAAGACGGAGTTACTGTGCTTTATCTCAGAGCAGGGTATAGGTAAGCGATAATCTTTCTTATGTGTTTATGACCATTTCAGCTTGTGTTTGGATTGTGGTGTGCTGGAAATCTTCTCTGAAAGCTTCTGAAGACAGCAGAATCAACAACGTCTGTGTCGGGCTTTCTGAAAGGAGTAGCCCTTAACCCCCGCCATAGAAGTGGTAGTTTATGCCAAAGGTTCGAGAAACAACTAACTTGAGTTCAAAACTGTCCTTGCCCAAGGAGGCTTCCCAGCCCAGGCCCCTCCTAGAGCAGGTGGTTAATGATGGCTCAGTGTTTTGGTGTTGGTGGGATGGCTCGATATCTCGGTGTTGGTGGGACGGCTCAGTGTCTCAATGTCAGCGGGATGGCTTGGTATCTCAGTAGGCCACAGTCCCTTTGTTCCCCAAACAGGCTCAATCAAGCCAGCTTTGATCTGTGTTGGTGCAGCTCTGTACAAAATGATATGCTTCACCTCCTAGCAGGGCTCATTATTTGAGATCAACTTTGATACTTACAAGGATGTTTTCCTCTGGACTGCAGCTGAATATATTGGGCTGGCCTGAGAGAGGGCAGAATGGTCTGGAAGGAAGCCAAATGCATTATATTACTGCTGTGATTATGCTTTTGAGTCTTGTTAGCTTTCACATCTTAGTTACCGAACAGGGCCTAGCATGGCAGATTGAAGGATGGATTTCAAATATTAATTTCCTGTTTATACCCCAATGAGACATTTTAGAGGTTTGTTATGACAAAGGTTAATGTTTTGTTGGACTGGGGTTGTGTGTGTTCTCTTTCTTCAGAAAGGAGAGGTACCAGAGAGTTTTTTGCCCAAGAGGGTTCACTTCACCCCTGTCTCTGCAACTTTTCTAGGTAGTTATATACACCACTTGAATGCAGACCTGTTGCTAAGTCTTGTTCTTATATGGGCTCTTCAAGGTGAACTGAGGATTGGTAATAAAAGAGAATTTATTTCCTTATTGCACATATGCTGAAAGTCAGTTAACATACAGCTCTTAACAGTCAACTAAGTTAGATTTACTTCCAAGCTCCATGCTCGCAAAATCTTTTTTGGAGATACAAAGCCATCTTCTTTAACCCTGTGGGCAAATCAATGTGTTACTACTACAAAAAGTAACACACCTGCGAAATGCCCCCTTTGCTTTGCCATCTCTACCATGACCCTATAGAGGAAGCATACCGAAAATCTGGCCCAGTTCCCAGATTTGATGTCTTTTTCCCTTTATCTTTATTAGTGCCAATAAAATACTACAGGCTACTCTATATGGGTTATGTCATACCCTCTACATAGGTTTGGGGCTTCCCAACACACTGTGAGTAACCTGTTCTTCTCTGCCCACGGAACAGGACACTGAAGCTGGGTGACTTCGCAGAAGGTCCTCTGCACTTGTTTTTTAGGTCTTTGGAGATATGCAAATAAATTGGGGTGTATGAGAATTTTCAGAAAATACGTTTTTCTGCCTGGCTTTTTGGATGGGTGCATAGTTGATTAGCTAAGGAGTTATCACTTAAAGCCTCTTTAGAGTTGCTAAGTAAATTTATCTCAAAGTAATTATGAAAGACGGAAGATGCAAGTAAATATTTCACAGAGCTTTCCATATTTTCAGATGTCCAGGAATAAAATTTTCACTGTCAGATCTTTATTTAGAGGTTAGCATGTGTCATATGTAAGATTTTTATTCTGTAAAGTCCTAAAGAATGGGAAATTTGCTTATATTAACCATTACCTAAAAAAAAGGTGGACTTTGTAAGTGTTTCTTGGATGGAGTAAGAATTGTTAATGTTTTTCTAAAAGATATTCTTGCTGATTTACATTTTGTTCCATTTGTGTATGGAACCATCAAAAGGAAGGTTAAAGATTATTTCTTCAATGAATTTTGAATATTTACAATTAACCTTATTGGAAAGCAATGAAACTATGAGCAACAAAGTTACTGTCTTTTCTTTTTTTTTTTTTTTTGTTTTGTGAGCCCACGTAAGTTTATAGCAGTTTAGAACAGTAAAATGGGATATTTTTTTAGTTCCAAGGGTTCAGATAGCTACACATTGTATTTCATTGACTTGCATACTCAGCTTCAGAAACTTCTGCCTTCAAGCTTCTTATTCCATTTGCCTTGCTGTAATTCATCTGTCCTCTAGTTGTGCCAATACACCTGTTCATGACATACTGTGAAAGAGAATATGAAAATTAAAAAGAAAATTATTGTGATATTTTGGAGAACTGCATCCCTCATAAATGTTCTGACAGGATAGTTTGACCAAGTGTGTCTGTGTAGTGTACAAGACATTAGGATTTCAGTCTGAGTCTGGGTTTACAGGCTCAGTTAATGCGTACCATCTCTCAAGTATCCTTTTCTCTCATGCGTAACTGTTGTCTCACTCAGTGTCCATCACACGGATGTGTGACTGATGAACGCTCAGATGTAGTACATCATGTCAGTATGACATGTACATAAAACAGTAGACAGCGTTTTATGAGTCTGTGTATGGGAAGCATGTGTTTTAATGGTGCTCCTTTGAGTGTAGTTCCACTTGATGGCTGTGATTTTCCTTTTCATCTCAGTCTCTCCTAAGAGACTGCGCTTTCTGAAGTTAGCAGCATGTTTCTGAAGATGGTGTCTGCTACCAGAAGTGATGACACCTGGTCTTTACAGTTACTGCCAAGAATTGGTATGCAGAAAGGCTCTTGCTTACACTTGCTGCAATAGTGACCAAGGGCACTGCTAAATCTTTCATAACATGCTGGGAGTGCTGGGAAAAAGGGTCAAAAGGAGGTAAACCATTGTGCCTCCGGGGAGGAACAGACAGGACAGGTGACCAAACCTGACCAACAAAAGGATTCAATTCCATAGATGTTATATTCAGTATAAATCTGAGGGATCATGAGGGTTAAACCTTCTTCTTTAATGGCCAGCATCTGAAGAATACTCCTTTGGTCCTGATCCTGAGTTCCCAAATCCAGCTCCTGTGTCTGGTTCTCCTCTGCCACTGAGCCCAAGGCTCCCCCAGCGCCACCTGCTCTCCAGCATCCATGGGGATTACTATCAGGCAGGGACTCGGGTACGATATTGGTTTTGTAGATATTTCATTATTTTCATTATTTCCTTATACTATCATTGCTTTATTAAATCTGGTTTATTTTGCAGTCTGTAAGTATCTCTGCTTTATTCCATTTCCCTTCCTGTGTTGGAATGAGAGGGATTCGAGAGCATCTGTCAGTCATTTAGCGGCCGGTCCAGCCCTAACTCTTGACGATGGTATGCATGTGACAGCAGTATAATGTCACAGGTTTCTTTCATGGTCTTCAGTCCTCATAGCTCTGCTCTGTAGCCACAGTGCAGCCTTGTGTGAGTGTATGAGATCTGAGTTGCTGAAAGGATCCACGCTGAAAGACAGTTGTGTGTCAAAGGTTCAGCAAGGGAAGTTTGTCAGGTTTAAGTACCACTGCTTGTCATAATTTCAGAATGTCACTGTATAGATATATAATATTGAAGAAGCATGAGAAGGGTTCTCAAATGCATCTCTGTGTATCACTACAAGCACATCTAAGGTACTTTTTAAACTTATATTTGTACAGCTTATATGTGTATTTTTATGGTAGTGTAGCCTGCTTAGTATGTATAAAATGAACTTGACTATAATTACATTTCTTGATTATATTTTTCCTTTGAGGATAAGTAGGGCATCAAGGGAGGTAAAATCATGTTTTACAATGTCATTCTAATTACTGGAGTTTAGAAATGGACAGAGGTTAAAAGAAGAGCAGCGGAAAGTGATAGAACAAAATAAAGACTCCTCTGGAGTTGAGATAAAGGGCCTGTAATTGAGAGCTCCCTTAGTGTTCTTGATATCCTATAGAAACAGCCTTACTGGCAAAAAAATATTTCTGAAAACCCAGCACAAACTAAATATGGCTGCTGTGAGATATAAGTTGCCCTTGTTTTTGTCTGATGTTGAACTCAGGGGAAAGACAATACATTTCCATTACCTGATATAGTCTGTGAAACATCACAGTAAAAAATTATTAC